AGACAAGAAACCTTCTTGAACATTGCTTCAGTACGCGAGAAGAATAAATGAATGCAAAACTGCTTGAAATCATACGGAAATTTCAAAAATGACGAAATTTCAAAAAATAAATAAAATTCTCAATGAACACAATCAAATCAATCAACAATTAACTAAAAATTTAATCAAAAACATATCAGCTACTTAAATCTATCTTCGCAAGACGACAACAACCACCAAAAAAGCATTGGAAGGGAATTATTCACACCTAACAAAAATTTCGAACAATCTGATGATGAGATGATAAATCAGATAAGATGATAAAATCTCAAGCTGATTTCACATATACTATCACACAAGAAAAAAAGATAAATGAACATATCTTGGGATGTATATGAGCGAACTCATATCGGAATAAAAATATTCTTCCAATGAACACAAACATAATGAATCTGAGATACAACGAATTCTATTGTAGCCCGTTACATCAGCGGAGAACATCAGATACGCATGATAACACATAACATATTACTAAATGAGGATGCATATTCAGATTCATAACATTTCACTGATTTTAGCAGCGCTTTACATATACTCCAAGACAATTTATATTCAGAAATGAACACAATAAAAAAGTGACATGAATAGTTACCATTACGGGAGGGAACGAAATTAGTAACAGACACACGCCAAGATGAGACGTTGCACAAGATGACCTGATGTATGACCTAATGACAGATACAAGACAAGAAACCTTCTTGAACATTGCTTCAGTACGCGAGAAGAACAAATGAATGCAAAACTGCATGAAATAATATTACAAGACAAAATAAACCACTTGATCACATCCCTATCGATAATTCACTACTAGGAATAACTGATCTCTGCTCTCAAAATGCCTAAATCCGCTGATATTGAAGTAAAATTTTTCATGCATCTTTTCGAAATAGATGCAGTCAGTCTGTATTGCAATAAAGAACGGGGCCAAACGGCGTTTTGGAAATCAAACACAACGCAAATAATTTAACTGCAAATGACCTAATGAATCGAAATAAAATATTACAAGACGAAATAAACGATTGGTTAGCTTAATTGAATAGTGACCGTACAGAGAGATGTGGGAATTGAGCGGACAGATCCAAGGAAATATTAGCCTTAATGGCTGATACACGTTGTGAAGGTAATCTTCTCGGTGAATCAGGACCGTTCCGTTCACGAATTTTATTCGCGTTCAATTTCAGAACGGACGATTTTGAGTCGTTGGCACTTGATGGTGACATATTCGATAGAGGTAAAATGCAGCGATTCCGTTCCAAAAACGTATTTGAACGTTTAGCAGACTCATTGCTTTCGCCTTCAGACGCTTTTCGATGTGATGAAAGGAACTTAGATGAGAAGTTTTGCGATTCGCTGGATGCAGATGGTGGAGATGATACACGTTTTTCAGAATGTGACGAAGCGGTTCTTTTGAGAGTACGTTCTGGACAAGTTGAAGATATCGTATGGATTTGTTTGAAGGCATTCGGAGCAACGCATTGACGCGTCAATATCATCTTATCAACCTTTTGCGATTTTGACGTATGTTGAGTCTCCGTTTTACTAGAGCAAAATTTTTGTCGATCGACCGATGCGATGATGACCGGTGAGGATTGCTGGCTGTGAGGGAGTGAAGGAATGTCGAGTGCGGTGAGTGAATCGAACGCAGATAATGCTTCACAATAACGATCAAGCGTTCGCGAACTTAACGGTACTTCCGTGCTATCCAAAGCACTTTTCACCAATTTGTATGCATCCATTAAATACCCAATGCTTTCTCGTTTATGTTTCTCTCGTTTAGTAGTCATATAGCACAAATTACGTGCCTGAAAATTCACGTCACTTAACAAATTAAGTACAATCATAATTTCAAAATACCGATGGAAAAAACTGCTTGTCGAGAATGAGAAAACCCGTGATTGGAACTTTTGTAAAAGATTAACACAACTTGCTGAGTTTTAAATTCGATTCCCCTCACAACTATCTCCTTTATTAAGTTCAAACAAACATTTTAAACATCGAATTAAAACACTTTAAAATTATGATGAGAAATTAGTAAAAACGACGAATCAAAAGACGGCACCTTCTCCAGATTTTGTCTCATTTTTGTCTCGTTTTGTACTCTCATTGATAGAACCGATGAATTGCCATGATAACTGAATTCTTGCTCTGATGTTATAAGGAAGTCAACTTCATTGACGTCCTCCAGTAATGTTTTATTTCCATTTTCTATTCGCTTCATTTTCCAATACTCGTAAACATCGTCAACAATTTCTAAATCCACTCCTGTATCCTTCGAGATCTCCTCTGGTGAGACATACAGGAAAAACATTTCCTCCATGCGACGTAATTCCTCGCGCTAAATAGTAATGACGCTCAAATATTTGTACTTTTCGAAATTATTTCCATCTATAATTTTACTACAATACGGTTAAAAAGAAACGACGAGCTTAATTTGTTGACTTGAAATATACAGCTGCGTATAAAGTTGAACGAATCAGAACAACGAAAATAAAATACCGGTTTTGCGTATTTGACGGCTCGCCTAGGGCTTGCACCTCTTCGCGTTGCCTCGTGATCGTCATGACCATGCATCTCTTGAGTATGTTTTCCACATAAACTCACCATGCGAACACCATCATCCATAGTTGAATCGTGCTCTATTCTCATTTCCTGGAAGCATTCATGAGTGTCAGGCTCGGAAGTCAGCAACTGTTTGCAGTTAACTTCACACACATACAAACTAATTCTACTGTATTTAAAATTTCTAGTTGTTCTTCGTTTTGCTCATTTCATTCGTCGTCAAAAAATAATACTACACAAAGCATGAAGTTATTTCGACGATATCCATCTTGAAGCCGAATGAAAGCATAATCGGTGAAGTAAATGAAATGAAATGAGATTTCAAATCTCGATTATATCATGTCAAAGTAAAAGAGAATCTCACTTGTTCATTACGAAGTGCACAAGTAACATGAAACGCGGTAGTGCATGACTTGACCGAGCACTGAATACAAGCACCTTGCTTCGTATCGCAAACAGAACATCTGCAAAGGATCAGATACAAGTAAATTGATGCTCATTGAAATTAATGATCAACGGCCCTTAGAATTTCGTTTCTGTTATGTTAAGCTGACAGTCTATTTGCAGGAATTTAGAAAAATACTCAAAAACAGAATTACAAACTTTAGCGTCCATCGCTCACTGGGCACGTCAGACACGTTGTTGATTGGTTCACGATGATCCACGTCACCAAAACGAACTTCAGGTATCCAAAGTGCACAAACAACATGTGCCCATGTTTCACCTCCTTTCATACATTTTAACGCACCGCCTAGCAACGGACACAAAACGCAACGTGGTTGAGCCTGAACGCATAAGGATATGGATACTTTTGCGAACGGCATCACCGCACAATACAAAAAGAGCAGCACCAAGAGTTCTTGTTCTTTATTCAACNACTAGAACAACAATTTTTATGAGATTGCATCTCATATCGACTCCATTCATGTTCGTAGCTCAAAATGTGACAAAAAAAACAAAGACTCAACGAAAACCTTATATCCGAGAAGAGTACACGCGTTGCAAAGCCATTCGTCTTTAGGTACCGAATCCAATCCATAACATGATTGATGCACACCCAGGTTACATCCGTCACAGAATATTATCTCATCATCATCCTCGTAATCGGTCTGTAACTTTCTATGTGACTTGTAAACCAATTGATGGTAAAAAATCTTATGCTGGTAAAAATCCTACTGAACACCTGTCAGTGTGAAAACCAATACACTTCTAGCTTAAATGAATACAAATGAACTTCACTCTTACTTTATGAGCAGAAGAGTTTTCATGAGAAGGAATACGTTGAGTGGACAAAAATGGTAATCTTAACAGGTATGCAGAAATAACAAATCACCTGTCGACAAATATCACAATAGGCATCTTCGTCGAGTTCAGCTTGCATTGGAGTAGGACAGGTCAGGGGCGCCAATAAGTCGTGATGAATTGCCTGGCGAAGCACAAATAATCACATATTCAATTCACCTGACCTATTCTTCCGACCAATAACGTTCATTTTTTTCAGTTTCATAATATGTCACAATATTCTTTCGTGCACGATCTCTTCATGCAGAAATAATCGGATCCAGCTAAATCAAAACCGAAACACTTTGAACATTGGAAGAAAGCTGGCTAACCTAAACGTACCAAAATGATGAACAAGCATTAAAAAGTAAGAAAAAATGTTAACCTTGTAGGTTTTCACCTCGAAACGATCAATGATTTCGGCAAACACTATCAACTCGATAGGTGGTAATCCCATAGAGTTCCTCCGCACGTTAAGATTATTCAAATAGATCTGATCCAAGCGATCGCACTGATACGATATCAGCGGTCGCATTGTAACACGGCTGAACTGATCGTCAACGTATCGCGCATCGTGTACTGCGATCCGTTTATTTGTGCTAAAGTTATAATTAACATATTTCATCTCCAAAATTAAAAACTAACACTCGTGCAAAAAATCAAACTTACGAAACGTAAATTAAGCATCTGAGTGAGTCATGAAAATAAATTTGGACATTTTCTAAGTGAGAAAATATTCGATCATTTTAGCATTACGTATTGAAGTGATCGATGAAGAAATGAAAACAAATATCAAAGACAACATGCAAAACAAAACAAAAAAAAATATACGTCATCAGAGAAACTTCAAAACATACCTCTGAAATGGGATCCTGCGAGGTTCGACAGATGAAGATGAAGATGGTTCGTTGTTGACTATAAATTCAGGCCATTTTTCTGCTATCGGTACCTCAATAAGAACCCATTTCAAATTTTGAACTGATTATTCTAAATACAATTACTACTGAACGGTTCAAGCAACGATTATACCTAGACAGTGAGGTTTAGGATCATTTGTTCATAGAGCCTTTAGGTTTTGTTTAATTACGCAAAATATTTCTAAAAAGATTATTGCTTGGCAGTGGAATGTTTATTATGCGGATCTGCATGGATTTATTCAGTTAAATTAAGCAAAACGTTACTTTTTACCAATCAAAAAGATAAATGCTTTACTGCTATCTGTTGATTTTAACAGGTATTTCGAACGATTATCGCAAGCATATGTCCCTGGTTAATCGGAGCTCATTCTTGGTCTTATTTTGAGCCCTCTCCCATTCCATGGCATAGGAGAGTGGCCTTATTCTTCTATTATTTCAATATAAATAATCCGGACAAGAATTTTACAACAACGGATGTTCCCCTATGCTGATATCGCTATGTGTGCGGAAAAAGGAATGTCGGTAAAGGAAGAATGTAATATTTGCGACAGTGACTAAGCACAGAAGTATATATTCGTAGTGAATTGTAAGTGCTGATTAAACAAATTGATAAGAATGATTGAAATAATTTAATGAAATACCCAGATCTAGTTTATGAATATGATAATAAATAAAACAGAAGTGACAAAAAGAAAATGTAAGCGATAATTTCAGATGGGAAAGTGGTGAAAAAAAGAACGAAAACTGAAATCACCTGGACATGGGTCCATCCCTCTTTCCAGCGATCAGTAATTTTCATAGAAGGCGCATCTTCATCCGATGATGAGTCATCATCTCTTTTGAAATGATTCAGATCTGTTCGGAACAATTCGGAAGGACGATTACCTAAATTTATTCATATTGAACAAGTATGATCACATTTCAACGCATTGCAAACCCCTTCACGAAATGGAATCCTTCGATTCCACAAAAATTGGACGAACTGTGGCAAATAACTTTCGACGTATTCAAAGCACCAAACGTTCAGGAATTCAATAACCGAACACATACTGTAAATAAATGAGAACTGCTCAAACATAACAAGGCAGAAACAAACCATTAGTAACCATGTAAAACTTTCTCGGTTTCCCACTACCACACTCATCAGTTGCGTCGTCTTCATCGGATGAATACACTAAATCAATAATACCGTCACACCACGTCTCAAGAAGAAGCTTGATAGCTTGTCAAATTTTCTTTGAAACTATAGACAATTTTCAAATAAAAGCATATTAGATGAAGACTTTGTCCAAAAATGATGGTCCGACAAGACACTTGGAAACAACATGCAACCATACATTCAGAAAACTGGAATGTATGCAGAATGAACGATAATGAGTCGAAAAAAAAANAAAAAAAAACGCTTCCAACTGCTTTCTGATAACACAGGAAGTATTATCGATCACATGCGGTAGATGGAAGAAGGTATCGAACTTAAATTCTGTGCATGAAGAAATACTTCAATTTGTGCACGAACGATTGCATTAATAGTAATTGAATGAAATACCGTTATTGGCTGGCGTTTTTGAGCGCTTCCTGCTCGATGATGTTGCAGCTAGTTCATTACGCTTGTTAGCCGACCAACATTTCTTCTTACTGCTATTGCAATTTGATGCTTTCCTCGAGCTTTCTATTCCATTCGTCTTGATCCTTTCATTGTGAACGCCTTAAAAATTCAGTTACGCGAACCAAGCTGATTAAATGGAACGCTTTTGACGATAATTTCTCCCAGACTTCCGATGCCGTAATTGAAGGAAGCAAGTTTCAGCTTCTATAACACCTCTTTTCAAAGCATTATAACAAGAGAGTGGTGAGGAATGAAAACTGGAGAATTACCCTTCAGCAAATGCTGCGACTTGGTCGGAGTAGAATTATTTGCATCTTCTTTATCATAAAATTCAACTCGTATATCGTGGTGTTCCTTACCTTCAAGAGTGAAATAAAACGATCAATAAATCGCGCTACCGGATGTCAATGGTTCAAAAGACATGAATAACACTGTTTAAAATTTCATGAAGTATGGAAAAGGAGCCTGGCGAAAAAGTTGCAGTTTTTCGAAAGAATAGTATCGAAGAGAAATGAAGCATGAAGGGAATTTCCCGGAAACAACGGAAACGTTACCTCTGAGAAAATAGCTCCGCGGACTTGACCTCGTTGATTCCTCTTCATTATCACAATGGCTTGTTAAAACTGAAATTTGCATGACTGACGCAGACTGGATGCTTTTTCAAAAGAATGTAATCCATTTTGAATCTTAAAATGCTCTGGTTTTCGGTTTTCAGTTCTGTTTTCAGACTTGATTTATAGGAAGCGTGAAGAGATCTACTATATATCTGGAAAAAGATTTTATATCTGCAACTATAGCTTATTCCTCGGAATATATTTGAATGCTGCCTTTATTTTCTCATGCTACTGTAATTTATTTCCCTTCAGATCTCGATCCCTACCTCACATAAACATGTATTCAATAAACGAAAGATGAATTCTCACAACCAGCAAGATAATGACAATGTAGCACCAGTATTAAACACACTTTTTTCATTGAATTTGTCACGTTCCTCCATCAAGCACGATGAACCTCTCAAGCCCATTACACATCCACTACGTCTTACTTGTTCTTGTTGCACGGCTGAACGGCCGTTAGGCATTATTTCATCAACGACGGAAAGGTTTCTAAAAGCATTAAGTGGTTGCTAAATGTGTATTCTTGCGATTTCACTAATTTAAATCCGACTCAGTTAATTCTTCACGGGTTTGGTGAACAGAACTGCGATTTTTCTCATCATTCACTTAATATTTCGAGTGACAGAATTTAGAAACGTTACAAGCTTAACATCCTCAATCAAATTTTATGCAATTGATAAGCGATCAAAACGGCAAATAAAAATCAGCCATACGCGCCTCATCTTATTTCCCGCAAACAACGTAACGTATCATTCACTAACGAAAGTCGTAGAATTAATCAAATATTTAGAGATTATGAAATTGTGACAGATGTACGAGCTGCAGACACAGAGAGTAAATGAGAGAGTGGAATGAAACATCACCATCAATAACCTTGCACATCCAAATGTGCACTGAGCATCTTCAAATGAATTAGCATCTCACAACTATATATCATAACAATATCATCAAGTGCATTGACGAAAATAATCCATAGAAGTGTAATTCAAGATTGTGAATAGTGAATGGTTATGAATGCAAAATCAATATTATATAAATCATTTGTGATAGCATTTGCATGAAATTTCAGTTCGGTCGGAATCCGATCAAATTCACATCTCGAGATTCCGACATTCGGAATTCCGCGCGAATTTCGGAATTCTTTGGTCGGAATGCGAATGTCACGATCCCGACCGAAATTTGAGACATTTTTCCAAGGAATGTCGATTGGATGCCACTGGGGTTTGCACGGGATCCCGGGATTATAGTTCTGATCCCGATCCCGGGATTTCGGGATTTGATAAAACAGGTCAATTTGCGTGAATT